CCTCCGCACCGCTGGCCGGCAGCAGGGCTCGCTGGGCCCCACCGGTTTTCCTTCCTGGCCGCCATCCCGACAGGGCGGTTGAGGAGGTGGTCGGCCCAGTCAGTCCTGGGGGGCAGCACCGGCGTTCACCAGCGGGGCGGGGGGGTGTGTGTCTCTTTGTGTAGCACGTTTAACACCGGCGTTATAGGAGTGTTCAGAGCGTCAAGAGACCTGCTGGTGGTGGTGGCATCGCTGGTGGCCGCTTGGATGGTGGGGAAGCTGTTTTGAAAGGTTTATTCTGTGTGGGAAGTGACCAGGCTAACTTTTAGGTTCAGTGGTAATTAAAGTGTCACGAGGTAGCACAAGAAATGAGTTGCATCAGAGGAAGTTATTGAACTGACTGGCTGTTACGCAGGCCACTTCTGATGCTCCAGGAGTGGTTGGCTTGCGAAGGATGGGGGGTGAAGGTGGCAGGAGCTTGTCACCTGCTGGGTGTAACTGGTTGGGTGTTACTGGTGGTGGTCTCTCTCTTCTGAGCACTGGGCAGGCTCAGCCATGCCCAGCCGTGTAACTCAGCTTGTGCTGGATCCATTCTGCTGCAGCCAGACCGTACGTGGGAAGCGCTGTTAGGTTTGGGCATGCTCGTACCAGTAACCACAGCTACCCGTGGGCTGTAACTCTCCCACAGCCCCACTCCATAAAGATCCTTTGATGATGATTCATATATATATGCGTGCACACATTTATTTGTTTCCTTAAGCATCAAGCTGCTTTATATTTATGTGTTTCTTACTGTCTTAATAATTTTGCTCATATTTTGGTCATGTGTGCAAGGTCCAGCTGTTAACAGCAACGTAAGTTCAGATTGTGCTGTGTAGAAATGCTTTTGTTCTCTAGTGCCACATGTTTGTTAAACAAGCACTTTAGTCCTCGGAGAGATTACTCGTTAGTCTGCACACTTTCTAGCTCCCCTGTGCTTGACTTGCAGAGCTACAATAATTAGATACTGTATTCTTCAGGCCTGCAGAATATTGCAGCAGAGCTGTGAGACGATGGGTAAAATGCAAAGGCAACCTGGGGCAGGAGTTTATCCAGCAAAGTTGCATTCCTTCTTATTCCAGCCTTTCACCTCTTTCCTGCTCTGGAAGCTGGCTGGTTGCTTTTTCTGTTTCTTAAGGTTTTGTTCCAGGGATTTCGTAACATCTAATTAAAAAGCCCCCTGCGTTAATTGTTGAAAGCTCTGTCTGAGCGGCTGTAAGGTCGGGTTTCTTAGTTTAAGGTCATGTTTTTGGTATGGGTGACTTGAGCTCGTAGAAGGGGTGAGGTTCAGTCTCTGAGTAATTTCAGGGATAAGGTGTTGCTAGAGAGGCATTCTCTGCACCTTCCAAAGATGGTGTGAGATTTCTCCCCTAATCCCCAACTTTTCTGCTGACATTCTTCCAGTGTCGACGTGTCTGTCCCAAAGCGACACCTTCCCGCTGCATCCAACTGCGCTGCTCCCAGCCAAGACGAAGCCGTTCAGGTGCTGGTGCTGTCCCTCTGTGAGGCTCTCGTCTGGGGAGCAGCACTCACCCTTCAGTCCAGGTTTTTGCACTGGGATTTTCCAATGATCCTAGTCGCTGACTCTGCTGGAGTTTTCTTGGGGCTTCTCTCTTTTTTTCGTCTTCCATTTTTTTTGTCTCCAGTAGCTCTCTGCAGTTAGTCCTGCATCCCTTTGCCTAACCGTTTTCTTCTCCTAGCCTTTCAAAAACATATTTCTGAAAACATGAGCTTTTGAGCATTTGTTACGAAGCAGCAGGTATTGCTCTCTGGGCGTGCTGTGGGTGAGGCTGGCAGGATGGGGAGGGATGTGACCGATGAGCTGCCTGGGGTCGAGCATGTCCCCTGTGAGCCTGGAGCCGCCTGCTCTGCACCCCGGGCGATGGAGGAAGAGCTGCTTGCCCCTTGTAAATCCCAGTGTTACTGCAAAACCATTTCTATATGTTGTGTTGAGAGGAAAGGTGGTTTGACAGGGACATGTGAGCATCCTAAAAACATTCCGTGGAATATTTCACACTTTGGTGTGATGGCTGGGGTGGTTGGTGAGGACTGGCCATAGGGGAGCCATGAGGGCTGAGGGTCTGTGTCTGTGCTGGCATACACATGTATGTGCATACACACACTGGTAAAGAATTTTTTTCCTTTGTTTTGGGTTACAACAGTAAGTAAATGGCACAGCTCGTACATGGCTTGATCAAATCTCTGTATTTTTGCTGCTGTGGATATGTATTTGTGAAAATATGCCACTTGCTTGAAAACACTGCAGATAGCCCTTTGGTATTACTAAATGCTGTGTTTTCAGAGTCAAAGAAGACCTGCTAGAATAATTAGATTATCTGAAGTTAATATTTCTTTTAAGTACAAGCTTCCAGAATCAAGGAAAGTGAGCAGTGTGCCTCAACCACCAAGGATTACAAGAGCTTAATCTTTCTGTGCAAAGGCAACTAATCTCAGGCATGCAAAGAGGGTTTACCTAACTGCCTGCCAGCGCTTGAAAGCATTGATGTATGAAATCCCTTGCAAATTCAGATGTACTTGGTGCTAATCGCTTCTCCACCTGCTCGTCCACCTCCGTCCCCCACATCCCTATCAGTGTCGCTCACTGGAGACTGATGGTGACACATGCAGCCGTCGTGTGCCAGCTCCAGTCCCAACCTGGGCTGTCGCTGCCCACCCACGGGCCAGCGCGATTGTAGTCCTAATGTTATTAGGACCCAACTTTTCTTTTGTGCTTGGAGCTGGAGCTCAGAGGCTTGTGTGGAGCTGCACTGGGTGTGGGAGCTCAACCCTGGACTCCATCTTTTAAACAAATAAACAAGCTGGGAGCGGCAGGAGAACTGGCTGAAATACTGAAATAGGATCAGCATCTTGCCATGTTTCTCGTGCAGTACGCAGGTAAAATATGTGTTTGTGCTTTTCTTGAAAGTGCATTTCTCGGAGGATGTCTTGTTAGTGTTAGCGTGTAGGATTACATGGAGTTGACAGAAGTAACTGTCAAAATTCTGCTGGTCTCCTTTGTGTGCCTTGCCAGCTTCTGGAGCAAACTGATGATTATAAAGCTCTAACCAGGACACTGAAGCTGGGAGTACAGTAGAAAAGAGTGCACAAACCCAACGGTAGTTTTTGGACCTGGGAACTAGTCTCAGAAAGCAAATGGCTGATATCAAAATGTAACTTCAAAGCCTTGGTATCTTCTTTCCCTTCCTTGCTGTTTTCTTCTCTCTGTGTTTTCTAGTTTATTACTGCAGATGCTGTGTACTTTGGTTTCTTCTAAAGTAATTTCTTTAGAGCTTAAAACAAGTACTGTGTAATCGGATGACAGATTGTGTCCTGGAATCCAGTTTATTTCTAAACATGCAAAAAAGAACAGGGACCCCTGTTCAGCCTGAGCAATACTTATTTCATATATTTGCCAATGTTGGCAAAAGGTAAATCCATATTTATAGTAAAGCCTGTGTCAGCCCATTTCTTAAGTTCTCTTGATGCTGGGTAAGAGAGAAGTTTAGTGAGTGGGCGTAATCTACATGGGCTTTTTAGGTGTATCATTAAAATGCTGTTAGGTATGTGAAAGTGTCAGAGTATCTGTTACTATTTTTTTTTTCTTTGAGTTGCGAGGCAGAGATTTGTGTACCTGCTTCTTGTTAACTAACAGGACATGAAGAAAACTGTTGGAGTATGTGACTGGCAGCAGTGCGAGGTTGCTGTCGGAGCGTGCGGTTCCCTTGGCTGGCTCCGGGTGAGCTGGTTTGCGTGCCTCTAAAGGAGTGCTAATCTCGTGGTCGGAGCTCCTGTTGTCGTTTGGTTGAACATTAGTAAACCCATCAGGGAAGATTTTTCAAAAATCTTGAAGTGGAAGCCCTTGAAGTTGGGGTGCTGTTTTCCTATACAATCACAGGAACCTTGCACAGTGAGCTGCACAAACCCACGTTTTGCGTAGAAGTGGTGTCAGCATGTTCAGCTCTCGGTAGTAGGAATGATCTGTGAACTGATGCTTTTCCGTTCATGTTGTTGACTGTTTCTGATTTCTTTTTTCTTTTTTTTACTCACTATTAAGGCAAATGGCCAAGCTCTGTTAGCAGGAGCTAGTGGTTGGAAAATGAAGTCCTGTCCAGGGTCTGGCACAGGACCCAATGAGGGTAGATGCTTCCCTTGATTTATGCCTGGAACATTGAGATCTTTCCTGTCTCTATCCAGGCCCTTCCTAAACATGTGCTGTGAAAGCTACAGCCGTATATAGCACCAGCACAGACCTGAATCGGTACCTCCCCAACAGGACAGGTGGGGCTGGGCATCGTTAGTGCTATTTAGGACGGTGGGGAGCTGCCGTGTGTTTTCCCATACGACACAGCTCAGCGTCTGTTTCTAGAGGTGAAGACCACCTACAGCAAACCTGCTGCTGCTCTGTGGGAGGACTTACCAATAGTCATTTTCTGCTCATCTTTAAGCTTCTTCGCTCTTTTTTCCCTGATCCGTTTTTCTAGCGAGGAATCTTCTAGTCCAAGTTGATTCTTTTCAATTTTTTTATTTTTAAATTTTTAGTCACTGCATTATGGCAGCTTCTGATACCTTGATCCTAAAAATTCGCTTTTCTGAAAATCCCATGAGTTACATACTGGGTATGCTTGGAGGTGAAGGGCACGCTAGTGCCCGTGCCACATGTGGCTCTCTAGAAATGCTGACACCGGTCTGATACTTGCTGAAAACCCTGATTTTTCTCTTCCTCTCCCCCCCTTACTGTCTGCATAGCACTTCACTGCAAATGCAGAAATCTGCTGGTTTGGGGCTTGCCTGGCTGCTTCACTACAGAGCCTCAGTAAAACTGAGTAAAACCCTGCGGCTTGGTCCTGTGCTGGTGGTCCCTTCCTTCCTGAGCAGACCAGCTCAGAAGAGCCAAGGATGCTTCGTTAAGGTCGGCATGAAGGAAAAGTGCTTGTGCCTCATAGTCATACTGCCTGATTCTGTCAGCTTTCATCCTGCTCTGTGCCCAGGAGAGACGTTTTTCTGCAGCTTCAGCTCGCTTCTGTGCACATTCTTTGTATCCAGTGGGATGTGGTTGGAGCTCAAGCCAAACAGCAGTTTGCTGAAATGGTAGGAGAGAGGCAATCGATTCTGAAGGTGGTTGCTGACCATAGCGTTTACCAATTGTAGGGTGGAAAATCTGACATAATGAGGGGTTTCTTACTCTAAAGTGCATTGAAAGTCTTCTCTCTGGCTTGGTTTGATTCTTGAAGCAAACTCCATACCGCAGGAGAGCAGCAGGCAAGGTGCCTGCTTTTTTTTTACTGCTTCCATTGTCTGCTGTTCAATACTACCCTTTTCTTTTTTGGGTCATTTACTCTTTCTCCATCTTGGGGAAGTGAGAGCAAAGCTTTCCCAAGATGATTTGCTCCTCGGTACTGTGTGTGCAGTAACGTGCCTGTGGATGGTAGCTCATCCAGTCTGGGGGGGACCTGGAGACCTGCAGACCAGGACAAGGCTGCCTGCTCGGAGTCGTGTGGGTGCCTTCACCCGGAGCCGTCACGCTGGTGACGGCCAAGTGCCTTGTTCCTGGCTGTGGGCAGGCACCTGCACACAGGGGCTTTTACTGCTCGCCATAACCACCCTCGCAGAGGTCTGGACCTGCGTTATGAAGTAAATGGCGATTTCCATAGATTAGGGTGACTCGGTGACCATCAGCAGTAGATCCTGGCTTTCTCTGCTCACAGAGCCTGGAGCCAAACAGGGCAAAGTACCTGTGGAAATAGGTCTTGGGGTCCTGGAAATCCTTGTTGGAGGAGCTATCAGGATCTCTTGTGTGAGTGGGACTAAGAGTAACTGCATCCTCTCTAGTGTTGTTTCTAGACAACACTATCCAGAAAATACATGCATTTTTGTGAAGGAGCTACTCAGTTTCCAGCCTGTGCCTGCAAAGAAAAAAACATGTTGCAGTTTGTGATCTCATCAACTTCCATTTTCTGTAACTTCTGAATATTTCTCACTTGTGGAATTCTGGTCTGAGGCTGTATAAGGACAGTAGTGGGCTTCTTCCAGAGTACTCATATGATGTGCACTGCGTGCCATAATGAAGTTGTAAATGCAGAGGGTTAGCTTTAAAACCAAGAAGGTCATATTTCTACCTTTTGAAGAGGTTTAGGCACCGTGGAGGAGCATATCAAATGAGAAGGGTAGCTCTAAACCAGTTCTTGACTTGAGAAATAATTGGCTTGGAAGAAAAAAAGCTGTAAGTTGGAATGAAGTTTCACAGTAGGGGTCCAAACTTTCCTCCTGCAGTTTGGTAATGTTTTCGGACACAAAGATTGATTTGAAACAATTGCATTTTAGCTGTTTAAATCTTATATCCTAATGCAGGGGGTTATAGGAAGGAATGCTTGCTGCCTCAAAGCGCATCATTGGTATCAATTGGAAAAAAGGCTATAGGAAAGTCAATTGCTTATTCCTGAAGTCTGAGAGCAATATAATAACTTTTAGTTTCGTTCATTCTCTTGTCCCCATATTGTACTGGTGTGGCTGGTTTAGGATTGCTCTATAAGACATGACTGTTGTTACATGGCTTGAGGTTGAAAACAAGTGGGGAAAAAAAAAAGTGTTTTGACTCTGACCTCTTTGCTGATCTTGGTGTGGCCTCTCAAATAGGGTGACCTGAGCCATGGCTTGATGCGACAGTGAACCTGGATCTGGATTCCTGGTACTGGTGCCTTAGTCATGCCCTGTGTGGTCCCCTCTGAGCATTAATCTGACACCATGAATTTGTACCAGCACAGAAAATGTTGCTGCATTCACGTCTGGGGATCATGTGTTGCATCTGTTAGAGAGCGTATCTGATTACGTTTAATGGAGAGTCCATAAATAATAAAGTTTTTGGAAGTGGGATATTCATGAAGTGGCTGGAGTAAGTCCACAGTCCGTTCGCCCAGGAGCGTCTCTGGATGTCTTCATGATGCTTTTGCTGGGTTTTGCCCTTATCCCTCACAGGTGGTCCATGCATGTTGGTAGTTAGAAATGCATTTGTTGAAGTAATGCTGAGCTGAATGTATCCTCATCCTTGAGGCAGTCGTTGATCTCACAGTGGACTTCACCTGACTTCCCCCCAAAAACACTCCACTGAACTTTAACTTACATTACTGTCACCCTTAGGTCATTCCTATGATGACAGTCCCTCACCTTGGGGAGGAATGACCCCACACACCCGTACATGCTGGGGACAAACTGCTGGAAAGCAGCTTTGGGTCAAAAAAAGTCTTAGGTGTTCCAGTTGACATCTGGAACCTTGACTCACGACCTAACTGGCAGGGGTGCTGGCTGTACAGTTGTGACAACTTGGCTTTCTGTAGACCCCAGTGTTTGTCCTGCAGCTAAAGAATCTGTGTGGTTTTTTTTTTCTAAAATACGTTAATAAAATTTTTTTTGCGAAGGTGGCAAGTAGTTCTTCCCTCCTTGTTAGCTCACCTCTGCTGGAGACGGCTGCCTCCCTCCCCAGCGCGGTCATCGGAGCAGATGCAGCATCCGAGTGCTCCTCCTATACCACAGAGCATAATCGAGCATCCTAGCTCAAACGGGTGACAGAAATAATTGGAGTAAGTAGCTACCTTTGCTCTTCAGTGAGTTAGACAGCGATTGCCTGTGTGGTGCGTGTCACCATCAGGTGTTGGTTAATGCTATGTCTGCACGGCCTGTCATCTTCGGCCAGGGCAGGGCCTCCGTCCGCTTCAGGCCTGGCAGCGTGAGTGTCCGGCTGTATCGCTGCTTGTCCCCGTCCTTCCCTATGCCCAAACATGGGAAAACAGACTTTCAGGTTTAATGTTGCCTTTTCCATCAGCTGGATAATAATAGAGGTAAATCTTACAATTGCCCTTTTCTGTTCTCCCCATTTCTCTGCTGCTCACGGCCTCTCTCTGTTTTTAACCTGCTGCATTCGAGATTTGTTTTCCTGAGCCCTCATCGCCTCAGTGATGTTTCGACTTTGGGGTATTTAAGAAAGAGCATTGTAGGCATCTTGTGTAGTCGGGCGTGACTATTGTTGTTGCCAGCCAAATAGTACTTATTTTTTTGGCTACTTCTTGCGTTCTCGCCTTTCCCTAGCTCAGAGAAGAGCCCCTTCAGGCTCTCTGTATTTACTATCTTTGTCTGTTTACAGCTGTACACAGCAACCATGTTTATTAACAAGCTCTTGGAAGTGGAATCCTCTAGAATAGAAATCGCAAGGCTGCAGTGTGTCTAGAGAAAGGTGTGGTGCGAATGTCTCGGCCCATCGGTATGTTGAGATGGCATAATTGTCAGCTTTGGTACTCCTGTAGTTCTGCTGGTTTCCCACCCCTCCAGGAACCGAGGCATACCTTAGCAGAAATATAGCTATTTTTATCACTTTATATGGATCCACAAAAAGGATTTGTGTGTGTGTTTTACTCTTTTCCATTGGCTGTTCAGAGTGAGTTTGCTGAGACAAAGATAAATCAAACTGGATATTTTAACATCCCTGCAGCCTTGCATCCCTGTAAGTGCTCAATATGACAGAAGGTGGAATAATGAGCTCAGTGCTCAATTAAGGGTAGTATATCTCTCTAAAACTTGCTGTGATTAATTGCATTGTTGAAGCTTTATGTCTGAAGCCTCTGGTAATTTGGAATTGTTTACAAAGTACTTTTTTCTTGTTACCTGTAGCTTTAAGAAACAGACCATTTTAGAGAGCCAGGAATGGTTGGGATGGCATTCTACTAGCACATAAGTGTCATTAATTGACCATCGCCTGCAATTTGCCCAGATCTCTGGCAATAGCACTTCATGTTTTTGAAGATCATGTAAGATGTGCCTTGTTTTTTTGCTAGTAAATAATTCCAGATGAATTGACAGCTGGTGACAAATTGGGTGAAACTTAAGGAACTATTAAAAATGTATTCCTGGATTGGAAGAAACAGAAAAACAAATTCTGGCCTCTGAGTTTCCAAACATGAAATACTGTACAGCACAGGGGAGATGCACCCCTGGTTTACGCTGTCAAACCATTTGACTTGTGTGGGTGCTGGGATTATTGTTTGTGAGTAATATTTTAAAGTGGTGTCAGTGTAACATTAAGATCAGGCGTAGCTGGGAACGGTAAACAGGAGGCACAGCTCCTCCGGGGGCCTGAAGGGCTGCTTGTACTGGGGACTGGGCATTTCTCTTATTACTGTGATCCTGAGGCATTGCAAACCAGGTTAAAGAAAGTCTCTGAGTGTCTTTTTCTCTTGTAGGCTTAAGCCATCTCTCCTTTGATCCTGGCAGCAACAGCAAACCTCTGCAGTTCGGCAGCGCTGCTGGCCTGCGGGCATCGGAAAGCCCAGCTGAGGATGGAAGTGATCCAGGCAATAAGAGGAAGAGAGCAAACCTTCCTCCAGGTGAGCTGTTAGTAGCAGCTCGATGGCTGGCAATAGAAGGCATTCACATAAGCGTAGACCGAAACCAGCTGCTATGCTAAGGTGTTAATGCAGAAGGTGGGCGGCTGGAAATGAAGTTGTGGTCTGATACTGCTTGCAGTCAGACCAGTGTTTGTAGTTCTATGCTTGCATGGCTTTGGGCGGGTGCTCGTTGCTATTTCTGTGCAAAACAAAAGCAACTTTTGTATTTTTTTTAAAGTATTGTGGAATCTCTAAACTGGTCTCAACAGATTTATCTTTTTTTCTGATTGGGCAATATCTCAATATTAAAATCATGACCATAATGAAAAGCATAATAAGACAGCTCAGCCTGAATGACTGGAGACAGTCACATTTAAGATAAGGTAATAAAAGCAAGTTGTTAAATGAACCATAGTAGCTTATGGTGTTGTAATGTCAGATCTAGGAGTCTTACTGAGTCTGGTATCTAAGAAATTTTCCTTGTATTTCTCACAGAGTGATTGAAAAAACACCCAGGTAGAATAATGTCTGGCAGATTATATTGTGGTTGAAAACTGCAATCCCACCAGTGTGACTGGGGAAACGTGGCATCTGCTTGTGCTGTGAAGACAAGATCTTACCTACACGTGTAAATAACAGTCTGTGGGACTTTGGGGGAGTTGTGAGGTACAGGAGGGGAAGGACTAGGCTGGACCAGAGGCAGAGGTGCCATTTTGCAGCAGAAGACCATCTTGCTGTGGGAAGGCGATGTGCAAAGCATACAGTTGCAGAAATGTAATTGAGTAGAGAAAGTCACAGAATCAAAGGATGTTCTGTTTTCCCCTCAATAAGATCTGTCAGATAAGGGAAAATAGAGGTGTGCAGGTGGTATTTTGTACATGAGTTAACTCCAGTGTAGGCACTTGGCTAGTGCGTAGAGCTTGGCTAACGTAAAAAGTGAAACGGGTGATTTGTTTGTACTGCAAAGGGTGGTGGGACTGGCAGTGATGGGAGGAAAGATTGAAGCCAAGGCTAGGTGTTTGACCTTGGCAGTGCTTCATTGAAGTTGAGCACAGGAGATGAGGGTTTTGGAGATGTCCCAATTGATACATGGGTTGGGTGCTTAGCAGAAGATGGATCAGTGCAGAGGGAGACTTCTCACCAGGGATGTAGAGGCGGCATTTCGGGAAGGTGAACTCGTCTCTTGTCCTCTCTCTGAAACCAAGAAGAGAGGAGTGGTGGAATACGGTGGGAAATGGAAACTCTGAATCATTAAATCACAGGGTGAGATAAATGGTCAATAAATTTCCTCCTGCTGGTGTGTTCTGGAGAGCTTCAGGAGAGCTTTGGGAGTCTGTGCGCTGGATTGTGTCCTGGATTATACAAGATGGGAGAATCATCTGAAACTAGCAGAGCTGATAGAGCTGGGAAGTTTTTCATACAGCTTCTGTTGGTAACACTGTTGATGTTCCCCTCTCTGTTGTTGAAGCCAAATTTTTTTTTTTTCAAACAAGCATTCATTTTGTGAAAGCTTCATCAGGAAGGTGGCATGTGAGACAGCTCTCTGACTGCAGGTGGCCAGGTTAGGTGTCCCTGTAGCTATCTCAAGGACTGTCTTTTCTCCTCAGCTGAAGAATGCCCTGGGCACTGGCTCTTGGCTTTTTTGAACTGGATGAGTCCTTCTGTTTTTCCACACGAAAAAAAGTTTTTTGTGAGGATTGTTTTTTTGGTTTTCTTTTGCCTTTTTTTTTTCCTGTGTAAATTTAACATTGTGCTAAGCATTTTTTTTCCTTTTTGAAATCAGATATTTTTGCATTTGGGCACCTCTAGTTAAAACCTATGCAAACAAAAAGAACAAGCATATGTCTTAGTGGTACATGGAAGTAACCAGCTAAAGGCATGGTTGACCCAGCTAAATCACTGAAGAAGATTTGAATGCTTAATGAAACCACATGTTTCTATAATGTTAATGGTTCCATCTGGATTGCCAGATAACTCTGCTAGACCTTGAGTAAATAACTCTGGATCCGCTGCTGTCAGCAGTGTGGTGTTGTTCTTTGCTTCATTTCCCCTTTTAGCATGAAAGAGAAATGTTTTCAAATGGCAGTGGAAGTGCTCTCTGCTGGAACAGACTGGCCATCTCTGTTAAATTCAGTGCAATTATGACAATTTATACCTGCTGGATGTTTGTCCTTTGTTCATAAATCTCTTGGGAGGAATCAAAGCGTACCCCTTATCTTTGATCAGTGTTTCTTTAAGGCTTCTTAGGGCTGTTGGTTGTAGGGGATAACCCATAATTTAGATACTCTTGGAAGGCAGTGTTTTCATAGACCTTGCTCTCTAAAATGTCATCTGCTCGAGAGGAACAGCGTTGTTTTTTTGGTTTGGTGTGTTTGTTTTTTTTCCATTTGACTCTTTCCTATGTGTTAGGTTCAAATCTGGTTTTGGATGCTGATGCTGCAGAGCCTTTCTGGGCAATTATGCCCTGCAGAAGTGTTAAGATATGCACTAAGCTCTTAATCACTTTTTTCCCTTCTCAGGAGATGGTGGCAGAAATCTAAGCCTCGACTCCATTCCGATGGGCTTGCCAATGTCAGACCCAACTGCCTGGGCCACTGCAATGAACAACCTAGGGATGGCTCCCATGGGGATGACAGGACAGCCCCTTCTGCCTGGTACGTGAGCTTACCCAGACTGTGCCCACCTTTGCTTTCAAACGTATCTTTGGGAAGAACCTGTTTCAGTTGAGTTAGATAAATGCCTACTGCGTACAAGTAACATTAATAAGCTGTGTTTGAAATGCATTAATGTCTGCAAGTGATTTATTTACAGACCGGTGTTTTAAAACTGATTTCAGAGGAAATGAGAATACATGTTTTTTGATGCAAAGAATGGTTATTGTGGGGTACCTCTAGATACTCTGCCGTGGACCAGCAGGAGGAGGGTCCCGCGCAGAGCTCGGGAAACCAGTGATACCAAATAACACGTTATTCTAAGCTGAACTGGAGCTGCTTAAAAGGAAGGGTGGGAAGGAGGTGAAGAGGAAAGCAATAGGGCAGTAAAATGGATATGGCAGAAATTAATGGAGGATTCTGCTCCAGAAATGACCGCCTTGTTGTCCGGAGCAGATGTGCATGGGTGAGTCATCCTATCCAGGATTTGTTAAAGAGCTCCTGTAGAGCTGTGCTGTACCTGGTTTCTCAGCAGTGCAGGATGCCTGTGCATCAAAATCCTGAAATGAAATTACTGTTTCAGTGCTTTACTGCATTAAGCGCTTGAGAAGGATGCTGTCTCCTGCCTGAATAACTGCATACTCACCCGGGGAGGGAGTGACTGTGTTGGCAGCACTCTACAGTCCTATTTCTGCTCTTGTGGCACAGAGCTCGTAGTTTGCTGTGCAGCTGATACTATATTTAACTAACAGCATCACTTAACTTGCCCTAAATTTTACATGCAGTCCATACTCTTCCGTCCCCTAAGCCTTTGTTTCGCCTTTGTCTTTGCTGTAAGGATATGCTTTTGATGTCATTTTCCTGCTCATATGCTTTTGTCAAGTAAAAATTAATAGAAGTCTGTCCTAGGAGAGCATACGAGTTTGAAGTGAGCCTCCTGTTCCCCCCTGTAAGAATAGGGGAAGACTTCTGAGTGATGTTCGTTTTGATACTTTTGATCAGGAGGTCTGCACCCAATGCAAACAACTCAATGTTTTTGAAGGGGCAAAAATATATTTTTTTTTTTCTGATGTGGCTAAAAAAGAGCAGGATGCTCTGGTGAATCTGGATCAGTTCCCAAACACAGTGATAGCTTGAAGTTTAGACCAGTCATATCTATAGTATCTATTAAAGATGAGAGACAGTGGAAGCTTTACATGCTTTGGGCCATCTTTGCTGAAAGCTAGGTGGGACTAAAGTTTCAGGTCACAGTAAAAAAAAGTCTAAAAATGCTTAAGAATTTACCAGCCAATTTCTGTTCCTGCAGATGAAGTAAAGCATATAGTTGTGAGATGCTTTAAGAGGACCTCTATGTCTAAAAGGAATGCACAGCACATTTTACTCCATCCAGCCACTGCCAGCTTTGCATAAAAAAAGTTATTGCAGCTTTCACCAAAACATACCTGCCAGGCCTGATGTTTTTGAACTCTATTAGAGTCCTTGAGGACTTTTCTCTTTTGCTCTTAAAGATGGTGACTGGCTATTCTGAAATCTGCTTCTTCAGCCACTCAGATTCTGGCAAGTAACCATGGGCTCAGCTTCTTAACAGAAGCACCAGGTCTCTACACAAACTGGCAAGTTGTCTTGCACATTGCTGGTTGAGCAGTAAACAGTGGGAGTCACCGCAAATCCAAAGACCACAGGTTCTTTTTGCCCTTGCATACACACTTTCTGCTTTTCATTATGACATGATAGTTCATTACCCTGCTAATTCTTTTGCTTCTGATAATCATATCCATTCACGCTTTTAGAAAGCTGTAAGTCTTGCTTGATCAGAGAAACACCCGTCTGGGCTTTCCCCTGCCTCGGATTCCCCAAGGTCCTCTATTCCTGCATTAAGGGTTTTCTCCGGTTGGCATCCGTGCCCATTGCTGTCAGCTAACCTTGAAGCAGTAACAGATTACCAGGACAAGGTGAGACTGCTCTCATTGGCACAAAGAATTATAAAATGTGAAGGAACTGAATTTAGAGGCTTGCAAAAGTTGTAGCAGTGGGTTCACTTGCCTGTCCTTGACATGTGGCAAGTAGCCCAGTGTGATCCCAGCACCTCTGGCTGTAGGGCTGGGAAGAACAGCCACCACCCTGCCTGGGATGGTGCGGAGGTGGCTCAAACACACCTTGTTTTGCCCCTCCTGCTGCCAGCGCTGAGGTCCTACTCTTGATCTCTTGGGTGTACCTGTATCAAACTGTGCTGGGAAGACAGATGGGATCTTGGACTCTAACACATGGACATTTTGAACGGTCTCTGCATTTTCCAGCAGATCACTGTGGGCTCCATGTATCTCCCATTCTCTGTGTTGTCTCAGCAGTGAGAGCTTTGGCTATTCCTCTTCCTTCCAGTTGCTCTTGACAGGCAGCAGTGGGCAAGGCCCAAATTGCTCCCTGCTGATGCTTTGGGGTACAGCTCCAGGAAAACAAAGAGTTTCTTTACCACCTCAAGAGTGCTTTAACAGGAGGATACCGAGGCTGTGTGTAGCCGGGTGCAGGCTGTGGAGGGCCGGTGTCCTGGGGTGGCTCCTGTGCTGCTTCGAGAGGTGCTTCGGGGCTGCTCTGGTACCTGCTGCGTGCCCAGGGGCTGGTTGGCCCACACCGGCAGCGTTTGTGAGACTGCTCTAATGCTTCACCGCTGGGATTGACTTTACTGGCACGGATGTTGCCGAAAGGGAGGAAAGTTAATGAGCATCCCAGCCTTAACCTGGGAAATCTGGAAGATGTATTGGTAAGTTGGAGGCCAGGATGCTGGTTTTGGCAGGCGTTCTTCCAGCCCTTCAGGAAAGGGGCTGTCTTGTGCTTGTTGCACTTCAGTTTGCCTCCAGTGGCAATACCTTTGTCACAGGTTGGATCAAGATGTTAACTTGCTCAGGACCAAGTCCTGCAGTTTTTCTCCAGCTACCTCACATCTTCAGTGAGTTTTGTCACTGAATGTCACAGCCATCGACGAGGTGACTTCATCTCAAACTTCAACTTAGCAATACGTGAATTTAAATGACAGAGATCTGGGATGGGGTAGCTTCTCCCCTTTCTCTCCCTGGTCCGAGCCTGTGAGCCAGGCCCCAGCTCAGAGAGCTCTGTGGCCCGAGACAGCAGTTGTGCAGGTATAGCCTCGACCATTCAGGCCAACCCTTGTCATTCCTCACAGCCCATCTCCTCTGGACATGTGTGTGCAGGGAGTTTTGGGGAGTCTTGTGGCACCATTGTAGGGAGCAGTAAGGCTGCCTGTGCTGTGGAATGGGGCTCTATCTAAAGATGGCCTTGCATAATTTTTTAATTTTAAGACGGGTGAAAATGCTCTTTTAAATAGCTGCAAACAGTGCTGTCTGCCTGATCTTTTTGACAGTGTAATCTTTGAGCTCTACTAATGAAAGTTTAAATATTAAAATTCTGCAACTTTAATGTCATACTTTCCAAGCCAGGTGTCATAGGCCAGGCCATCCAAGCATCAGCTGGCCATGGGTAAGGATACAATTTGCACGTATTTATACATCTGTATTGCACAGTTGGCTGCAGGAGGATTTCTTGTGCCTTCCTCTGAAACGGCTGTTTCATGGCAGAGGATTTGCCTCAGATCTGTGTTTTTGCTGTGACTGTTCGTGTGTGACTTAAAATGAACAGCAACACTTGCAGCGAGTGCAAGGAAGTCAATTAGGCAAGCAAAACAATGTACGTAAACTGTGGAAATGTAGCCCCAGGTGAAATATTTCAAAATACAGAGGAAAACAAAGTTCACCTGAACTCGGACGTCCAATCTGGGCACTAAAAGTTGACTTTCATCTGGATTACTGTAAGTAGTGGTTGTGAAGAGAGGAATACAAAATATTTGCCTGCCTTAGGGGTGTGACTAGCATCTGAAATGATGCCAGCTTAGGATCAAAAGAAAATGCTGCCTCTGCACCCCTCAGTTCTGCCTATTTGTAACTTTTGTCTGTGCCTTGCAAAATCAGTGTTATCCGTCTACATCAGAAACAAGCAGCCAGATTCAAAGGCTCTGTAGTGCTGGGGATTGTGTATTCTGTGGGAGTGTCCTGGGGTGTTTTGGGATTGCCTAGGCCTTCAGAACTTTGGGCACAGTGGTGGTAGAGGGTAGAGAAGGTGTCATGGCCTTGCAGGAGGGAGCTCTTCCCGAGACCTCCCCCGGTAGCACCAGCTGGCCCTGCTGGTACCAGCTGTCCTTACAGCCGAGCTGCTGGCATTCTCAAACTCCTGAGCCTTCTCCGTAAGGCATCTAGGCGTACTGTTTCCATTTTGGTTGCCTACAGGTATTGCTTCCCCAGGGTTCGCAACTTCTGAACAGATAAAATACCTCTCCTTTATCACCTCTGTTTAGTTTTATATGGCATTGGAGGCAAATCTGGGAGCAAAGTAAAATGCTACTTAGATATAGTCAGAGTCAAGTTAAGCAGAGTAAGGTATACAGTAAGTTGTTCCTTACATGCTTCTGTGCATTTTACCCAGAATTATTCTGGCACGTTCTTAGCTGCTGAAATCGGTACACTTGTCTAGTTTGCAAGGTGATGCCCATAACTCTGTGTTGCAAGCTGTCTGCACTACTAAACTACTTAGTGTAAAACCAGTTCGGTTTCATTGTTTCCATATGCTATGCATTTCTTTATATGGATAATACTTACTGGGGAAGGTTTTTGACACTAGGTGGGAGATGGTGTCTACAGAGTGGAAAAGTAAGTAGCTTATTTGAGCAGAAAACATCTATTTGCCTGAGGCAATTGACAATGAAACAGTTTTAAAAAGTTGTTCTCAGGGCACAAATCTAAAGTTCTGGTGAGTTGTATTGTGATGTTCTCCCTCTACTGCTGTTTCTTCAGCTAACTTTCACTGGCACGTGTGGGGAGAGAGCTCCATTTGCTGTCTGAATAAACAGTTGCTGTATGAATCCAAACCACTACCTGACTCCCTTATTCTTTCCCTCATTTAGATTTTGATCCTGCTCTTGGGATGATGACTGGAATCCCCCCAATCAACCCCATGATGCCAGGCTTGGGGATAGTCCCACCTCCCATCCCTCCGGACATGCCTGCTGTGAAGGAGATCATTCACTGCAAAAGCTGCACTCTCTTCCCACCTAACCCACGTAACTGTCTATTTTGTCCTGTTTCTATCTGTCTATATAGGAATACTTGTGTGTGTGTATATATATTTTAAAAACGTGTATATGAGAGAAGAGCCATTACATTGCCTGGACATAGTGGCTCTGGGGTGAGTCACTATGAGGTGATGCTGGCGAGCAGGTGAGGGAGCAACAGGAAAACCCCCTTTTTGTCACTGTGTGTTTGCCATTTCCGTAAATAGTGTTTTCAGTTGTTAGATTGATAAGGACTGGGGAAGAAAGCAATTTGAACTCTAATCTTCATGATGTGATTCTTGCATGTATTACCTAAGGCTTCAAAGACACCGAGCTCTTGGATGCAAGGGCACTGGATCAACCGGTGTGGTCCATGCTGAGTCCGTGCTCTGGGTTTTGCAGAATGTGGTGGAAGGAGAGCAGAGGCAGTTGGAGATAAGACAGAAAACTTTGTTTAACAGACGATGAGGGCTCACAAGGCTATAGCAAGAAACAAGGATTCCCTTTGAACTAGCTGGCTGACCCTTTCTCCTCACTTTTATAATAAAAAACACGTGGGGAGGTAAACATTGTTACCTGTCAGCTGACTTGTG